ACAAGCACGACTGAGAGAAGGTCAAAAGTAGCAGACTCCATTGTTGTGAAGATTAAAATGACACTAAACAAATACGTTGCATGTTGAGTAGAACAGCTGTTAATAGTCTTAGGGATGGAAGTAAGCTGTGTAGATAACATCAGCTGGTGTTATTCATTGGATAAAGAGTTTGCTGTCACTCACTACCACAGATCCACCCTTCCAGTCCACCAGGCAATGCCTGGCTTTGGCGCAGTTTTCAAACAGGAAATGTGAGTGGAGTAAAGCTCAGGTCACACTGCATTTTTTTGGCTGTCACACAGGACTGCTTCATTTTACAGTATGAACTCTAGAGATGTGTCACATGGTATGGTCCAAGATTTCCATGAGTCAAATTGCACGTCTTCTCTAGCAGGACACACTTACATCATGTTCGTACTCGCCAAAGGCGTACTGTAATAAAACCCGACAGATATCCATGACAACAATGATCTAATTCATGCTAATCATGTAAATAGATGAATACTCCTGAAAGTGTTCTGATATTAATGTGTTTTCTTAATTTTGAAGCTATTTTTATAATTTACTCCACAGCTAAGCAACTTGCTTTTTTATTGTTCATAATGAATAAATAAAATAATTTGCTCCGACAAACCAGATATGGAATAATCTAAGAATTGTGCAAAATAACCCTTTCATTTCATTCATTTGCAGATACTCAATGTGAGTATTACCTTCTGAATTATTGACCTCATCATGTTTGCTGTTGCTGGCAAAACAGTAGTGGTAAACATGATGAGGTACAAGTGGTCACCTTGTCATTTTACACCAACTGCAACACTAAAACAACATAGTTATCTTTGCTTGTTAAAGAACTGCAGCCTGGGTATTTCAGTTTAGGTGACATAACAGGAAAGGCTGATTGGACTTTAGGGCATACTAGGAAAACCTTACAAATATGAAAATAAGAAGAGCAAAAATGAGAAAAATACTGCAGAAGTATACCTCATGAATTTGCACATTATAGCATAAGTCTGTTAAAGAAATTGAAGTAACCACAAGAACATTGGCTGTAATTCTTAGTGTTTGTGGGTTTCTCAGTCACATTTTTGCTGTGTATCAAAAAAGAAGCATGTCATTCACCCTGAAATCATGCTGCAGCATTTGGTAATTACAAAGTAAGCCACATTATCCTAAACTGCCTCCCTGAGCTGTGGGTATGACTAAGCCTGTTGTGTGCCTGTGCTGCAGCGTCAGCGCTGAGGAGCCATTTGTTGTGAAGGTACCACTGTGGCCCGGAAGCTTGATAGTCAGTAGCTCGGTCCCAGGAATGCTCTACTCGGACTAGTTTCTTTAAAATCACGACAAAAAGTTAAGAATGAAGTGGAATAGGCCTTAAAGTTACAATGGCAAATCTGCTAAATAAGCTAGCTTAAAGCAGGGTTTCATGCCTCTTAACATTCTAATGTAGTATAGCTATGGAGATAAAAAAAAAAAATAATGAAGTGGTTCTCTTGCATTTGTCTAAAAATCTCCACCAATAACACAGCTCACACCAGACTTCCAGATGAACAGGCTTGAAAGCAAATGCATATTTGACATTGAAATAATCTTCATCTGAAATGTATTTGTTTAACTGTAACAGCCAGATTCGATTTTTCCAGTCCTGTTCAGTCTTTATGAGACCAGATGGAAGAATCACGTGCACCTGCCAACTTACTTTAACCAGCCGGATTCATGTCTCAATTTAAGGAAGCTCTGGGGGTTGTTTGTGATGTGGTTCTTTACTATTTCAACAAAGTCTTTCAGGGGATGACCTGGGTGAACTCAGATTTAGAGGAACTTACTAGAAAATACATTTTTAACAGTGAATGGAAAACCTGTACAATGGTGCTGTACAATGGATTAAAAATAATCATCTACAAAGCCATCATTAATTTGGAGACCTTATTACAGGCAGACCAGTGGTGAAATGAAAGGAGGTTGACTACTGGTGCTTCACAGATATTTATGGTGTCTATAATGTTTTATTACATGCATTTCTTTGTAAATAAATATATTTACTGAGCTTTACTTATACTTATACGTTGGTATGGCACCTCATGCAGAGTTCTTTTGCTGTTGGACATTTTGTTCAAGAAGATGCATCACAAATAATGGAAACCACCGAGAATGTTGTCAGATACAATTGGAAGGCAGATTATTTGCTATCTTTACCATTAAAGCTTAATAACATTGGTTTCAGTACATTTGTGATAAAAAGAGATTAACTAATAAAATTAAAGTGAAGATTGTAAAAATCTATATGAGACGGTGTCAAAATGCGATTGAGCCTGTGTTTAAAAACTGTTGTGTTGCAGTGTCAACATTACAACAACTGGAATTAAAACAATTATTTGACTTTATTTTTGTATAAACTGACTTCAGTGTTCATAACTCAATGCTAACATGAGCCATCAGAAGATTCACCCCAGAAAACATCGTACCTGGCTTCATCCAAAAGTATAAAAATAGCAACAAAAAAGAGGAACATCTGAAGGTCATCAATACAATGAATTTTCTATTGTATCGAGTATCCTGTGAAAGAAAAATCAATAGGGTTTTATGCTGGACTATTTCTTAGAATTGGGCAGTTGCCAGAAAGTTAGAGACTCCAGAAAAACACTTGCTAGAGCCAAGACACTCTGGCATGGGTTGAATGAACCAATGTTGGGAATTTGTGTTAACTCTAGTCTGATTAAGACCTTGTATTAGTACCTTTAAACAAGCATTATTTTGTCTTTTGTTATTTGTTTCTTTAAATAAAAGTACAATTATAAAACTGGAACAATTCACTGGACAATATTCTGACATAAAAGCTCATTGGAAGTAATTTTTAAAACTAGTCAGAAGTATTGTAAACATGAGGATGTGTGTTTTGAAAGTTATTTTTGTAATTTAATTAAAAACATCTATTTTGAAAGTTCTTCATTTCAAAGGAACATATTATGCAAAACTAATCTTTTACATGTTTTTATGCTACCATGTTGGTCTTTATTGCCTCTGTAAAGACTCCAGCCTTGCACAAACACACACACACACACACACACACACGCACACACACACACACACACACACACACACACACACACACACACACACACACACACACACACACACACACACACACACACACACACACACCCATCCATCCATCTATCCATTTTACGTCAGTGTTTAGTTTTAGGAATTGTGTGTTTCCCAATTTGTGATGTCACAAAAGGAGAAAATAAATCAGAATCACCTCTCAAGTCTAGGAGTGACCAGCTGCTGGAGAAGAGGCAACTCTAATTCAAGCCCCTTCTGAATATCAGAGCTTCTCAGCTTATAGCAGCCTGAGTGGGGTGTTGGTGGCCATGGCGGGTTCCAGCTTGTTTTCTTAAAGTGACAGAGCCCTGAAACAACTAATACTCAAGAGATTTGGTGTGAATAATTCCATGAACATGTTTGCATTACCCATTTAACTAATATTACTTAATTTAAAAAGTCATAATATAAACCATACTTATTACTTTTCTTTTTCTTTTCAATTTTTATCATGTTAGTCAACTAATTAGCACTGACACCGGTCCATCTAAATCATTAACCTAATTTTTTACAGATTTAATTACTACGTTGTGTTTTTTGCCAGGACACCAGTGTTGAAATAACACTGGAAACTGCATCATGTAGATTTCTCACATAGATGGATAACAAATCTGTTCATGTACTAGAGGTAGAAATAATCCACTCTAATTGAATGTAAAAACACAATTTAGCAAAACAAACACCTCAAGTTTTAAAATTTCAGTTTGACAGTTTAGAAAAGAGTGAAAACATCAACAACACTAATATTATTCTGACACTGAATGCCTGTAAGGCACCCATTGCTATTTATGCTACAGAGTTGGCACTGAAAACCTAAAATGATCCTCACTTAAAAATTTGATGTAACCAATATGGTTGCCTCGTGTTCAAAAAACGCCACTATTACATCTCAACTGTTATGAACCCTGCTCATGAGCTCAGCTTAAACAGTCTGGCAGCCTCTTTATGCTCAGGACCATGGACAGTGCCTGCTATCCTTGCTCCACTCTAGCCTATATGACAGTTCAGTACCTTGGAGAGCGACACGCTGAGCCCCATGATCTTTTAACACTCATGAAAACAATATCATGAAAAATCTTGACATTAAAAGGAAACTTCTGAAACAAAGTTGAACAAATCCTGTTATAATTCTCTACCCAGAGATCCCTGTCATTTAAATGATCGATCTTCACCTCTTTTCAAATGTCTTCCATGTTTTGCTTTCTGCTGGATTGTGGTAAACAAAGGTGAAGGAAATCAAAATAATAAGAATGTGGACTTGTGCACTGTGTCCTGGGAGAGCAAACAGAGCAGACAGATGTGATGTGAAAATATCATTCATCAGCTGGTGGTTTGATGCCAGCTACAGAGTAATAGCATGAGAGGAAGACAGATTGTCACGGAGAGCCTTGTGTTAAGGTGAAAACATCTCGAGGGTCTGTTTGATGTCTGTTCAGCTCACAATGAATCCTAATTCATGACATTGTGTCCATGAAAAGCCCTCAGAATAGCATCACAGTTGATTCTTTATCTTTAGGTGAGAATCACAAATTTTGAAGTGCATAGGCCTTTCTGCTGTTCTGCCCATCTCCATCAGAATAGACCTAACACACCACCCTCACCATGCGTCTGCTCTTTCCTTTTCATAAAATAATTTTATACAATTTAAGATTTTATTTTTTGTACTGCTGTGTCAACTTTCTGGAGAAAGGAGTTTTAATCTCTTTGTGACTGCTGACCCTTTGAACTACAGCTTCTCACCGAGCCTTCTCAGTCCGTTGCATCTTGCTCCACCTCACTCCCAATGTGGGAACAAGGCAATTGAAATGCAAAGTGATTTTAAATTCATTTCCTTGTTCCTGTTGAGTGGGTCTGAGTAGAAGTTTAAACTTTCATTTTTTGTTCTTGGTCCTTAGCTAATTCACACCATCAGTGTGGTGGATAGAGATGAACCCCAGACTGGGCACCGTTTCTTCTTCACTCTCCCTCCTGAAGCAGTTGGCAGTCGTCATTTCACTTTGTGGGATGTCAAAGGTAAGAGGACATCTATTTAATGTCTTCATTCAAAGTGAGAAGGCACGCTTTAGAAAATGTTTATGTAATTTGATTTAAAGACTATCATTTAAATAGTGTGATCTGCTATTACCTCTATGGGTTAGTCCTGGGTGATTATGTTTTTGACCCAGACTCAGCCATTTAGATATTGTTATGCAGTGACGTTATATCTCCATGATTGCTGAACAAGTAAATGAAATGTGAAAGAGCATGGTGTTAGCTCTTTTGATTTACCACAGGCTAGTCAAATAAAAGCAGAGGTTCACTGAGCATGTAGAATACACACTTTTACATTATTTTTGAAAGACAATCAGTCACACTGACATTCACGTACATACTAACCATGAAAATAGTCCAACCCCAATCACTTGCATTAGTCACCAACAGAAAATAGGCAGGGAAATGCTCGGGATCAGAAAAGACATGACTGCGCCATAGGCATGAATATGTACACCCCCATTGGGTGCTGGAGAGAGTAACAGCGTCACCGCCATATTGGGTGGGTTCCTCACTCTCCAAACCCAACTGAAAAAAAATTCTGATAAAACCATCAATTCAAAGCAATAAAAGAGTCACTGGCCGAAGGCCAAGGCATAAAAGTAGGTCTTAAAGTGAGATTTAAAAATGGCCAGAGAGGGTGCCTACCTAACTGTGATTGGTAGAGAATTCCAGAGCATTGTAGCAGCATAGACAAACACCCATTCTCTCCATGACTTGTAGGACATACGGGGTGTGACAAGAAGCAGGCACCCAGTTGCATAGGGAGTAAGCAGGTCGGATAGATAAGAGGGTGTTAGGACATTTAGGGCTTTAAACACAAAAATCAGGATCTGAACCTTACATGGAAAGTAATGGTAAGCCAATAGAGATGCACCAAAACTGGAGCGATATGACTCTGTGAATTTTTGCCATTCACAAACCTATCAGCAGCATTCTCAATGATCTGCAGCCAGTTTAGGGCCAAGAGAAAATTACAAACTGCATTTGCGTAGTCCAAGCGAAAGGTAATAAAACATGTTTCCTCCACAATTTCAATGTGCACATAGGTAGAAAAAACAGCTATGGTGAGACTAGAAATGCTCAATGTCTTGATGGAGCTTCTAAAAAAAACCAAAGATGCCATATTGAAATGATGCAAATATCTTTAATACTAGTTTTGATTATAAAATGTATCCAAAAGCTGCTAATCATTAAGTTCAAGCTTTTAATTAAAACTGTATTTATGTCATTATCAAACATATGTTTTAATGAATACTTCCTCATACGATGTCATCAGGAATAATTTCATGAGCCATTCCTTTGTTGATATTTTATGTTAAAATTGTGATGCAGGTTTTTACAGCTGTAAAACTAGATATAAATTAATAAAATAAAGATATAATTGACATGACTGAGGGGAGTTTCCTGACCCAAGACATGCAGAATGATTCGGAGACAGAGGTAGGAAAAAATAAGATACAATTTTATTTCTTTTAACTGAACTAAAGAGGCACCACAAAATGTGGAGATGGGTAGCAAAGGCGCAGAGCACTCTTTCCGGTGGCCGGGGTCTGTAGGATAGACAGAGGTGAGGATCTTGTGGCTGAAGTGGAATAAATTCTTCGGAGGAGTCTTACTGTAGGAAGCTGGCTTTGATGTCTGGGCAGATCTGGGGTGAGCTGTGGCAGAGGTGTTGGTACTGGGGCGTGATCCAAGAGGTGAGCGGAGGAGAGCGGTGGGGTCCACCAGGAGGAGGGAGATCTGTAGCACGGTTCCAGATTATGGCTGAGGTTGGATGAGGCAGGTCTGAAGATGATCCTGAGGAAAGCAGGGCGAATGATTACTACGCTCATTAAGAGCACAAACACCATCTGTAGCTACTAGGACTGAGATAACAATAACTGTAGCGATCTATAAACTGTGACAAGAACTGTAGCTTGTACTAAAGGCAAGACAGAACTACCCAAGTTGAGTAATCTTCCAGCGAGGTGAAGTGATCTCCCAGCTCCTTATAAACCCTGGCAGGTGATGGGAAACACACCGCAGCTGGCCACTCTCCGGCACCGCTCACCTGCAACGACTTGGTGGTAATTAGTTGAATGTGCAGACTCACCCCAGATCCTGACAGTACCCCCCCCTCAACGGACGCCCCCTGGCGTCCCAGCAGAGGAAGAGGAGGCGGAGGAAGAAGACGAGGCCCTGGAAGCTTCAAAGTCCGCGATGAGAGAGGGGTCCACAATAAAAGAACCCGGAACCCAGGACCTGTCCTCGGGACCGAAACCCTCCCAGTCCACGAGGTACTGCCGACCCCGTCCCCGGGGACGAACGTCGAGGAGCCTCCTGACCGGGTAGACGAGACCACCTTCAAAGAAACGAGGAGGAGGAGGAGCAGGAGAGGGACACAGGGGACTAGACACAACAGGCTTGACGAGGGACACATGAAAAACAGGGTGGATCTTAAGGGAGGAAGGAAGGGTCAAACGAACAGTGGAGGGACCCGGGACTGCAGCAATGGTGTAGGGACCGATGAAGCGAGGGGAGAGCTTCCGGTTGGAGGACTTCAGGTGAATGTCCCTGGTGGACAGCCAGACCTGCTGTCCAGGGGCGTACAGAGGAGCAGGACGTCTGTGCCGGTCAGCAACATTCCTGTTGCGCTCGGCCGTCCGTTCCAGGGCTGCAACGGTCTGAGTCCATGCGCGCCGAGCGCCACGGAGGAACTGCGGGACAGAGGAGGCGGACCGCACCTGGTCTGAGGGGAACAAGGGAGGTTGGAAACCCAGCGACGTCTCGAAGGGAGACCTGCCTGTGGACGAGGAGACATGAGCATTGTGCGCGTACTCCACCCAGGGGAGTTGGGCGCTCCAGGTAGAGGGATTCGTGGCACAGACACAACGCAGTGTGGCTTCCAACTCCTGGTTTAACCGCTCACACTGCCCATTAGTCTGGGGGTGAAACCCTGATGTGAGGGAGACCCTTGCCCCCAGGGCGGCAGCGAACTCCTTCCACAGCTGCGAGACAAACTGGGGACCTCTGTCAGACAGGATGTCCTGAGGGATGCCGTGAAGGCGGAACACATGTTTAACCAAAAGTTGGGCAGTGACTGAGGATGAAGGGAGCGACTTAAGGGGAACCAAGTGGCAGGCCTTAGAAAAACGATCAACTATGGACAAAATCACAGAAAACCCATGAGACGGGGGAAGACCAGTAACGAAATCCAGGGCAATGTGAGACCAGGGTCTTGAGGGTATAGGAAGAGGCTGGAGAAGACCAGCAGGTGGCTGGTTGGAGATCTTACCCCTGGCGCAGATGTGGCAGGCCGCAATATAGTCCTTCACGTCCTTGTACAGGGTTGGCCACCAAAACATGCGCCGGATGAGGGCCACAGTGCGTCCCACTCCTGGATGCATAGAAAAGCGTCCGGTGTGGGCCCAGTGGATGACGGAACCTCGGACCTGGTTGGGGACGAAGAGCAGGTCATGTGGGACATTACCTGGGCCTGGGTCAGACTTCTGGGCTTGGAGGACCTTATCACGGATGTCCCAGGTCAGGGATCCCACGACGCAGGAGGGGGGAATGATGGTCCCAGGTTCTTGTTCTCTGTCAGGAGAAAACTGTCGGGAGAGGGCGTCAGGCTTGATGTTCTTAGAGCCAGGTCTGTAGGAAATAATAAAGTTGAAACGGGAAAAGAACAGGGACCAACGATACTGTCGGGGGTTGAGTCTTCTGGCGTCCTTCAGATAGGCCAGATTCTTATGGTCTGTCCAGATGACCACCGGGAGCTCTGCTCCCTCGAGCCAGTGCCTCCATTCCTCCAAAGCCAACTTGACAGCGAGGAGTTCCCGGTCTCCGACATCATAATTCCTCTCAGCAGGGGTCAGCCGCCGGGAAAAGAAAGCACAGGGATGGAGAGCGTTATCGTGTGGGTTTACCTGGGACAGCACAGCACCCACCCCAGCGTCCGAGGCGTCTACCTCCATGGTAAACTGCCTGGTGGGGTCTGGTCGGGTAAGGACAGGAGCCTGGGTGAAGCTATGCTTCAGTCGGGCAAAGGCGTCTTGGGCCTGGGGGGTCCAAACAAAAGGTCTAGAAACAGACGTCAAACTGGTTAGAGGGGCCGCTACCTGACTGTAGTTGTGGATGAAACGGCGATAAAAATTTGCGAAGCCCAGGAAACGCTGTAGTTGTTTCCTGGAGGTGGGCGTGGGCCAGTCCAGTATGGCCTGGGTCTTCTCTGGGTCCGCCCTCAAACGACCACTCTCCAGGATGAAGCCCAAGAACTTGACAGAGGGTACGTGGAACTCGCACTTCTCCGCCTTCACAAACAATCTGTTCTGGAGGAGGCGCTGTAGCACTGCCCTCACATGTTCCTTGTGCTCTGTAATGTTCTTAGAGAAAATCAGGATATCGTCTAAGTAGACAGAAACAAAACGGTTAATATAATCCCCCAGCACAGAATTGATTAAAGCCTGGAAGACAGCCGGAGCATTGGTCAGACCAAAAGGCATTACCAAATATTCATAATGTCCAAGTGGAGTCTTAAAAGCAGTCTTCCACTCATCCCCCTCCTTAATCCTGACCAGGTGGTAAGCGTTTCTGAGTTCTAGTTTGGTGAAGACAGTGGAGCCCTGCACGGGTTCAAAAGTGGATGACAGGAGAGGCAGGGCATACTTATTCTTCACAGAAATGTTGTTGAGTCCCCGGTAGTCTATACACGGTCGCAGCGTGCCATCCTTCTTGGGGACAAAGAAAAACCCCGCTCCCAAAGGGGAGGTTGAGGGTCGAATCAGTCCAGCAGCCAAACTTTCGGATATGTATTTCTCCATACACTCCCGCTCAGGTTTGGAGAGGCAGTAAAGGCGACTGGTAGGAAGAGGAGCTCCTGGAAGTAGCTCAATGCTACAGTCAAATGGTCTGTGAGGCGGAAGGGTGGCTGCATGTTCCTTACTAAAAACACTCCCAAGATCATGGTAACATTTGGGAACTTCTGAGAGGTCTGGGGG